ATAAGTCATTTCTGTAAGCTTATCCAAATGTGCGCTAGAGCTTTGGGACGTGGCAATTGTGTTCATGTGTGCCAAGAGAGTTTTACTCTACATTTGGCGTAGAACGAATTCATTAACCTTGATATCCTCGACAAGGTGGCGTATTTGCCGAAGAAGTTGAGTAGGAGACCTGTCAACTAGTTCGATAGCAGAAAGCAGGTGTCGAGAATGGGTCTTGTTCAAGTTGACCAAGCGTGTGACAACAGTAGCTTTCAACTTTTCATAGGGGTTTTCAGAAGGCACTGATCCAAGCAAGTCGCAAACTTCTGTAGCAACATTTCTCGGTAGCAATGCAGCAACATGTTAATAGTTTTAGAACTTGGAGGCAATCATCTGATTACGAAAATGGGCCTCAGTTAGCTCAATCCAAATTCGAGTTTTGGGGCAGTACGGGAGAAAGTTGACTGAAATGCTGTTTTCCGAACAGAGGTTTGGAGCTATGGAATCTCTCATAGTTAACAGAGAAGAGTTACGAAAAATTCGACTGATATCACTAATCAACCGAGTGAAATACAAATCGGTTACATCTCGTCGGGTTCACCAAATGTGGTAGCATGGGTGTAGCACTAACTTGCAACTCCCTAGTTTACAGGCCGTAACAACCCGAGAAGTGGGAAGACATGAGGCCGTTCATTAATGCCACAACATCCAACGGCTTTTTGTGCCTGAGTTCGCGTGCGTAACAGGCGACTGCACACAAAAGCCAGTAACAAAAAGGGTGATACACTGGTACAGTTGGGCCAGTATACACGCATCAATCACGAGAGGTGGTTGTCTGTCCGCCACAGGATCGGCTCCACCTTGAGTTGGCACATGATCCGCACTATCCATTCAGGATTAAACCATTGTTGACAGGTCCCTGGACCAATAAGACAATTATTTCCTGAATCAGTGAAGACAGTGACGCAGGTGACCTGCTAAAACTCGTGAAGCATCAAGTTTCTGATGCGTACCCATGTCCGGCCTTCCTTCTAGCAGTTAATTCATCACATCAAATCGGAGTACGCAAGTCCCATAAGAAATCTCCTGTCAGCAAGAATAATTTAAATAATTATTTAGCATGAGATTAGCATTGTTAATTCACAAATATTTCAAAAGCAAGAATTTCCAATCATGTGCATTTTGATTCCAAATGCGTGTCACCATTGGAAGAAGCTACTCAATTGGTGATAAAATGCATTCAGAATATGAAGATGTCAATGTATAACGTGCCTCCGTAAAAAGTACAAATGTTAGCATATTTTAATGAAAGTTATGTCGAGAAGAAATGACATATTTACAAAAAAATTTTTTTTAATTTCACGATACTTTACAGAAACGATATGTAGAATTGGGCAGAGAGGGCATTTGAAGTTACTTAAAATGAATTAGAAATATTTGCCTCAAACAAATCCAGATTATCATTGTGTGTTCATTGAAAATGAATGTACTTGCTTGGACATTGTCTTCAGCTTTTAAAATTAATGTTCGAAGAGCTAATCGAATAATGTTGCAACAAATGCGCATTAATGGGCATAAAATCGTATAAGTGAATGGACTTTCGAGGCGTTGGATGTCACAAAGCATGTCTGTCCTAATTGGAGTAGGTTTGACATTAATTTTGTATGAAGTTATTTGCTGTCTTAAAGCTTGATAATGTATTTATTTTTCTCCTGGTATGCGGCTGAATCTGTGAAGGAGCTTCTGAAGGAAGGGGTACGCAGCTCGGCATCATCATACGCTTTAAGCATTCACTATCATCTATTCTCAGATATCGATCACACACACCCTATTCTTTCGATCGTTAGTTTAAAACAATCCAAAAAGATTTACTGCAGGTGGTGATGAACGCAAACAAGCACACATCGTTCATCAGGTGCCTTAACGGAACTGTAATTACATACCAAAAAAATAACATAATACGAGAAATCGTTAATTTTAACTTTTACATCAAATTAACTAAGAAATATAGATTAATTGAAAATATATTTTAACCATCTAATTCATCGTCCTTGATGTGACCCGTTTGATGTGACCCGTCTGAGCATTATTGTGTGGTGTTGGTTAGAGATTAGTGAGTGTACTGCTTTTGTGCTGAAATCGAGTACGAGATGTCTAGTAAGCTATCTGATTTACGTGGCTTCGTCTGCCTTGTGACTGGCGCAAGCAGGGGAATAGGCCGTGGAATCGCGGTGGGACTAGGTGAATGTGGTGCTACAGTGTATATCACGGCTCGTACTCTCAGACCCAAAGGTGAATCTGGAAACAGCGCAGCGCCTGGAAGCCTTGAAGAAACTGCTTCTGAAATAACTGCTCGAGGCGGTGTAGGTGCCATAATTCGTTTGTGTCCTACGTTCAATTATTCAGTCGAAATTGCTGCGTGATGTTTTTCGACATATTGGGCCAGATTAGATTTGTTATCACCCCTCATTAACGAGGCGTCATTATATCTAACGATCGTTTTTAATGGCTGATCATTGTTTAATGAATTGTGTTTTTTGTCTTTTCGCCCCTGCTAAGTCATGTTAAAGTCACCATTGATGTTCACTAGCTCTTTCACGTAACTTTAGTCCGACTGGAATACTGACATCTGAAAATTCGTTATTTAGATCCGTTATTTGGTAATGCCTCAAATTTATTGTACTTACATTTTGTTAGGTCAGTTGTGTGACGCTAATTTTGGATGTTCAACTTGGGCTCGTTTGCGTTATTAGTAAATTTTCTGTTTAAAAATTGATATTAACTTAATAACTTCACCAAAGTTGGAAGACAAAGCCAGTAGTCCTTTTTGATTTTTTTGTGTCATCGGGCGCGTTCGGAGGCTTAAAAGCTAGCGCCAATGCTTAATTTTGGAGTAGGGTCTTGTACTATAATGCAGGTAATAGTGTGGCTGATGTTGCTAAATTAATTTTTTTTCACGCTTATGAAGGTGGTGATTCCTGTTGCCGTGGATCACTCTGATGACACTCAGGTTGCGGACCTCTTCGCACGCATTCGGAGGGAACAAAAAGGCCGTCTAGACATTTTAGTGAATAATGTTTACGCAGGTGCTGATGCTCTCACATCTTCAGTGAAGAATAACCAGAAGTTCTGGCACATGGACGGCAATG